ATCCTGTAATTACCAAACTTTCTTCTCACCTTTCTTGAAAACTGGGACAGTATTTGCCACGTGAAGAAGAATGGGACCTTTCCAGACTCCCAGGGCAGCTGAATAGTAAGGGAGAGAGATCCTGCAATAACATCAGCCACTTCTCTCAGTACTCTGTGATCACTCCCATTGGGGCCCATAGATTTATGCACATCCAGCTGAAGAAGCCTCAAACAAGTTTAGACTCAGCTGGGGAGTTCATTGCCCCTCTAGTCACGGCCTTCTTGGAGACACCTGTGTAGATGCCACAGCCTATGACCTGTGTTGAAGACACAAGTGAAGAAGGCATTCAATCCCTCTGCTCTCTCTACCTCCCCATTTGTGAGGTAACTGACCCCATCAAGCAACGGACCAGTTATCTCTGATTTTAATTTTTATAAGTTTGCTTCAGTTTCTTATTTCTTAAACACTCTATATAGTTTGATCATAATGTTAGACAATAAGTATTTCAGTATTTTCTAAAATAATGAGAGTTTTCATGTTGTTAGTTATCTGACCTTGAACAACTCAAACAATACAACTTAGTAAATGCTAGCAGCATGGTCTTCACGCCTATATCTTGAAATGCCTTCAAGAAATTAGAATGTATACATGATCTAGCAATAAAAGTTTCACTCATTGGTAGAATTATTCCAGGGAAGATATTACTGTCTTTGTTGGGGATGTTCAGTTGAAGCCTTGACAAAAGCAGCAAAATGACCAACCAGCTCATCTCTCCATTTCCCCCATGTAATTCAGGTGCCTGAAAACAGGAAGTTTTAATTCACTATTTTTTTGAATCCCAGTCAATTCTGGTTGAATTTGTTTAGAAAAGTCTCTTTTCTGGTTACATTTCATACCAACTATGCTCCTGAGCCACATGTTCTGGGGTAAGGAGGTATTCCTTCTTTGCAACAAAGAGCTGCAAGAATGTTTCCTACGAAAAGCACATTCAAAGAACAGTAACCAACATGCTTTCTGTCTATAACTATCTGCTCTGGGGCAATGTGACTTATTAACTGTATTTCAAAGGCAAAACAACCTGGTTATTTCCAAATTACCTACAAATCAAGGATGATGCCATGTGCAATAAATGCTCCCTTTCCCATATAAGCAGATTAATATCCTGTCCCAGAACAGGATATTAATGTCCCACAGATGTCCCACAACAGGACACCCAGCACTACATCTCCTCCAATACAATGCATAATTAACTATTTTAAGTATTCCAGTTTATTACATTCCATCTTAATATTCCAAAATACTAGATTCAGGAGCATAGGATATTGCATTAAAATTATCTGGAAATTTAACTGATTTTTATATAAATCAATCACTTTTTTCACTTGCAGAACAAAAATATGTATGGTTGGCACTGCTGTAAATCATTTCAAATGTCCATAAGCACAAGAGAACAATACAAATTCTTACCTGGGGCTTTTTTTTCCTATTTTATTCAAGGTGCAGCCTACTTCAAAAACAACAAAAAAAAAAGTTTTATCTTGTAATATTGTAATTAAATAAAATCAGAATGTGAACAACAGGCACTACACTGGTAGTAACAGTATCTTTTCCTAGCTCCTCTGTAACTTATTTATGTTGGTACTGAAAAACTTGCATAATGTAAAAAAATCTTATTAAATGTGAAAAAAGAAACTATCATTTTTCAGAACAAAAACTAACACTCACAAAGAACAGGTAAGTCTGGCAAGTTTGTCACCTAAAGAAATAGTAGCTTTCAATGCAGAGGTAGGAAGAACTGTGGAACTCAAAATACAACTTGTCAGTCATATAAGTCTTCCAAATTTCATTTTAGTAGTCTTAGACATCAAGATCTTAATATAATTTGTGTTTTCATATTTTCAACCCATTTCCATTTCTGTAGAGGATACCTCACATTTGTTTCCATATCTACTTTGGCAAATTCACTTGGAAAAAAACATGAGCAGTAAATGTCGTTAACACATCAAATTGCCATAAAATACAGATACATAAAACAAACTGGGTTGGAAGAGATCTTTAACGGTCACCTAGTCAAACAACCTTGCAACAAGCAGAGTACTTCTTCAACTAGATGAGGTTGTTCAGAGCCCCATCCAACCTGACACTGAATGCTCAAAGACATGGAGCAATTACCAGTTCTGGGCAACCTCACCACTCCTATTGTAAAGAACTTCCATAGGTCCAGTCTGCATCTACCCTTCTTTACGTTTTAACCATTACCCTTACCCTGTCACAATAGGGCCTGCTAAAAAGTCTGTCCCCGTCTTTCTTATCAGCTCCCTGCAAGTGCTAAAAACGCACAATAACGTCCCCCGGAGCCTTCTCTTCCCCAGGCTGAGTAACCGCAAATCTCTCAGCCTGTCTTCACAGGTGAGGTGCTACAATTTTCTAACCATCTTCATGGCCCCCTGGGCTGGGAGTGCCCATGGCTGGGTCATGTCCAGCCTCTCACCCACCAGCACCCCCAAGCCCCTCTGGGCAGGGCTGCTGTGATCTGTCCATCCCCCAGCCTGGGCTCAAACCAGGTGCAGCACCTTGCACTTGGCCTTGTCAGACCTCAGGAGATTCCCATGGGCCCCTTTCACAAGTCTATCCCAGGTCCCTCTGAATGACATCCCATCTTCTAGGTGTGTCAACTGCACCACTTGACTTGGTGTCATCTGCACACCTGCTGAGGATACACTTGATCCCCTGTCAGAGTGACTGATGAAGATATTGAATGGTAATGGTTCCAATATAGATTCCTGAGGAACACTGCTCATTTATCACTGATCTCCATCTGGACATTGAGCCCATGAGCATTGATACCCTCTGGATGCAAACAACCAACCAAATTCTCATCTACTTAAGAGTCTAACCATCAAATCCATTTCTCTCCACTTTAGGTCCAGCTGATCACTATTTTAATCTAATGTTTTCCTATGCTTCTGCTAGTCACACATCAAACTTACAAGCACAGAAATGGGTACCTACTATAGACATGAATACTGCCAGTAGGAATTAAGAGTATGCTTTATGCCAAGGCTGGTGGTTTTCAAGCCATAGAAAACTATGCTGCCAAGAGAAATGTGCTCCTTCAACTCCAAGCAATACTGGCTCACACAATATGGAGGCACCAAGATAAACCTCCCCACCACCCCAACTCCTGAAAATTAATTCTATGTGAAATCTAAGTGACACTGCCTGATTAAGCCACACAATTGAAAGAAGTACACTGATTTCCTAAAAGACAAAATAAGGTTTGGGTCTATTAACACAAACAAAATTGAAAATAAAAATAAAAATAATTAAATAAGCAGCAAGGAAACTAGAAGTTTGAAGTTTGCTTGAACACGTTCCTCATTATTATGTTATCATTCTAAGTATTCAAAACTAGTAAATCCCAGTTACTAGTCAAGAACATACATTGTCCACACAGTAATTTAAGGACAGACCAGACAGCACTCCATGCTTTTCAGTCACAATTGTTAAGATTTTAGGTAGAACTTGCAAAACTATTCTAGCTGCTATCTGCTTTTTAACATCAAATATGACCAAATTAATTTTGCAAGAAATTCCTGTTACGAGAAATTCCAGGCCTGGGGAAAATTCAAGCCACAGAACAGGTTAAGAACAAAGTTCTGCCGTAGTATCATACTACATATACTCAACACCATTTGGCACATCTGTTTCCAATGCAGTCATACTGATCCAGCCCTGCTTGAATTTAAAATAAACCACTATCCTAGCATTCAAACAACAGATTCAAATTCCATCATACTGTGCACATTGAAAGTGACAGAAATACACAAAAATTTAGTTTTGATATTTAACTTGAATTTTTCTTACTGGTGTGCACTTCACTCATTACATTATGCATCATTAAAAAAATTAAACTTTTACAATATACATAAGCATGCACTTCTTGAGTCAACCTGCTGTGCACTGTGAATTCATGGAAATCTTAAATGGACGTGAAGCAGGGAGAGAAAAAGCAACGTAGTCAAATGTTACCAAATGTGTATCCTGTTTTCTTTGCTTTTCCAATGTTGTGAGATTGGCTATTAACCTTAAATAAGGACAGTGACACATTAAAATTACATAAGCATCAATTATTTTCTGGGAAATAAAAATTGAAAACTGTTGACTGCTGACAGCACTGGAAGAAGGTGCTGGCCAGACACCAGGCAGCCAACAAAGCTGCTCTCCCACTCAGCTCTGCAGCTGGACAGGGGAGAGAAAATGTAACAAAGGATTCATGGGTTGAGATATGGAGCAGTAGAGATCACTCATAAAATACCATGATGGGCAAAACAGGCTCAACTTAGAGATATTAATTACATTTATTAATAAACAAAAGTAGAGCAGGACAATGAGAAGTAAAAGAAACCCTCAAAAACACCTTCACCCCACCCCTCCCTCCTTCCCACCTCTACCTCCTTCCCCAGTGGCACAGAGGCAGGGAACAGGGGTTAAGGTCAGCTCAGGACCTGTGGCTTCTCCCACTGCTCAGGGAGAGGAGTCCTTCCCCTGCTGCACTGTGGGGTCCCCTCCCATGGGAGACAGATCTCCATGAATTTCTGCAGTGTGAGTCCATCCCATGAGCAGCAGTCCTCTCCAGAGTGCTGCAGTGTGGCTCACACTTCCACGGGGTGCAGTCCTCCAAGGACAGGCTGCTCCAGCCTGGGAGCAGGGCCCCCCTCTCCATGGGTCTCCCATGGGGTCACAGCCTCCTCTCAGGCATCCACCTGCTCCAGCATAGGGTCCTCCATGGGCTGCAGGTGGATCTCTGCATTCCCCATGGATCTCCATGGGCTGCAGGGGCAGGGCTGTCTCACCATGGGCTGCAGGGGAATCTTGGCACCTGGAACATCTCCTGTCCCTCCTTCTTCACTGGCCCTGGTGTCCACAGGGTGGCTGTTCTCATATCTTCTCACTCTGCTCTTCTCTGGCTGCAATTACAACTGCACAATAACTTTGTTATCACCATTTCTAGTTGGCCCAGCCTTTGCCAGTGGCACATCCATCTGTGGAGCCACCAGGGACTGGTTCTGCCAAACATGAAGAAAGCTTCCGGCAGCTTCTCACAGAAGCCAACCCTGCAGCCCTGCTGCTACTGAAAATCAGGCCATATAAATCCTTAAGAAGTTGTGTAACTCTGAAATAAAACTTTAAAACTAAATTGTTTGAAAAATATTGTATGGACAACCCTGAAAATGTCCTCTGTCTTCAGTAATCAAGCCTATTCAGCAACACAGTTTAAAAGACATAACTTCAACACAGAGAAGCTTATTTTGAAAGTCACTAGTATAAGAAGTTACCAGGAGAATAGGTCATCTTTCAAGTTCACAATTGTGACAATTTTTTGTGATGGGTGTCAGAAATTCATGTTTGTTTCAATGATCTCTGTAACACCATTACTTTTGTTCTCTTCCAGACAGGTATCTTTTTTCTTAGTAAAAGTAGCAAACAGTGTATCCATCATTCCCAGGACTTCCAGTAGTTCTTCTTGATAGTCAATTTCTTTTCCAATAGCTTCCTGAAGTTTCAAGAACTGTTTATCAACTATTGCTGACTGCCCAACCACAGGCTGATAAATATCTGTAGAGAAAAATATCAGTTAAGAATCCATAGATGTATAAAAAGGAAAAAATTGTATTAGATAGTTAGAGATTCATTTAAGGATTCTAGCACAAATCCAACATTCTGAAAAAATAAGGTAACTTTAATGTTGTCTGTTCTGAAAGCAGTGGTTGCATGTAATTACAGGGGCAATATGTCAAACAGAAACTGAAGTTTTTATGACTTCAAATACTATTTTTACCAAGAAACATGAAGCATCAAAGGAACTTCAAGACAACGAGGAGCTTCCTGCAGCCTATGCAAACTGAATCCTGACTATGGTCAAAGTTATCTGGAAATACCTCTTTTTAGGATCATTCTCTTGACACTAAATCCATACATAGAAACAAAGCCATAAGGGTTTGGTTTCTTAAAAATGTAGCACTTTCAATCTTGTTTCAATTATATAGCAAGCTAGCTATATGGCTTTGAGCATCTTTTTTGTGTTGTCTTACCAGTGATCATATCAGCAACAGTCACCAGCACAGGAGTAAATCTAGGCTCAATCACACGCCTGCAAAATTAGAAGACATTCCAATTTTACCTGTTTTGTAAAATTTTGTACTGCACTCGACCAACAACAAGCAGCTTTCTCACATAGGCATACAGTCAAATATTTTATGATAAAGAGACGTCACAGAACAGCAGTCAGAGATGCAAGTCAAAAAACCCACATTTACCCTCCTCCTTTCAGGAAGGCAGTGGGGGTTGAAGGAGTGTCAAAAAGCCTTGAGTGCATAAAAACACAAGTTTCATCACAGAGATGGAGAATAACAGACTACAGGTAGAGTGTCTGGCAAAGAAGTAGAATCTCTCACACTATCAGCAAAACTGTGCTGTGCTAACAGGTAAACTGTTTCAAACCTATCCCAAAACCTTGGTATTGGAATAGAAGAGGCATGTGAGATTTCAGGAGTACCTGTGTTCTACCCGTGATTTGTTTAAACTCTGTGGGAAGTCATCAGGAAATAGAACTGTCAAAATAGTCAGAAGGAACTCATGCTAAAACAATACCTTGCCACAAAGGTAAGCAGGAGATTAACTTGCTTCTCGTCCCGGCCTGCAAGGGCACTTCTCAGTGTTCCTCTGCGATGTAGTTCCTGCATGACTGCAACCGTGACTTCAGGAGTATGAAGCATGATGGGTGGCTGGACACACGTAAGAAGAGTTTAGTACCAAAGTAACATCTTTACACACAACACACAGGGCTGGTGTTAGCAAAGCAAAAACAGAACCCAACCTAGATTCCTTCCTATTTATACACTAAAATAAAGTTAGTATGACATACAGGGAAAATTAACATTAGGTGACAGCACAAAACTCTGTTAAGAAGAAAAACCAATGCCTCACCTCCAGTACTGCATCAAGAGCCTTGGAAGATTGAAAACTCCTCAGCAGCTTATCGTATTTTCTCAAAACACGTTTTACAGGTTTGCTGACACAGAAATCTTCCTAGAATTCAAAAAAAAAAGAGTTCAGAGTAAGACAAATACACATACACACTCACATAATGGATTACATATATTGCCATGAATAATTTTATATATTCCCTCCCTTCCCTTTCTCCAATTTAGCACCTCCAAAGAAACCAATTTTTCAGCAATGTTTCAGCACATATTTTTTTACCACATCATACCTGTTTTGGCATGTAAGTTCTTCCTTTCACATAGGTTCTATATGCTGGTTGTCTCTTCTTTTGAGTGTTTTCACTCTTTTCTTCTGGTTTTCTGTGTTTAACATTCAGCACCCCATTGGTCATGCCTACAACTATGGTTTCATCTTCAGGCTAGCACAACAAAATCACAGAGTTAGGACCCAGTGTTTTATTTGTGCTCTATCATGCATGCATGCTCTATCATACACAATTTTTTTTTATTTTTATGCTTCATGGTAACGTCCAAATCACAGTTATCATAGATGACTTAAGGTGGAAGTGAATACTTTGTTCAAAGCAGGAAAAAAGGCTATGCTCATAAGCAACATTATAGACTGACTAATGAATCAAACTCAATTATGCACTAACATCCTTCTGTAACCACCAAATTTTGTTTTTTCCAATGGCATACAACTACCTTTGGCTATTAGGTACCATACAGCAGGCATGAACAGAACCCCTATGAGAAAGCAAAGCTATAATGAAACAGCAGGATTTTGAGAAACAAGTGAAAGCTGTTCAAAACACCAGTCCTTGGCATATGTCATTTCACTTATATAATGAAATGGGTATAAATTTCTGCGAGAAAAATGGTGGATGCCCCATCCCTTGAAGTGCTTAAGGTCAGACTGGATGGGGCTTTGAACAACCTGGTCTAGTGATGTCCTTGCCCAGTGCAGAAGGGGCTGAAACTAGACGACTATATAACCTTTCCAACACAAGCCATTCTATGACATGATAACAGCCTATAGAATTATAACAGGTATAGATGGAGATCAGCTGGTGAATGGCTCATTTAAGGGCATCAGTTGAAGCTTATGAAGATTCAAGTGGAATAAAAGGAACTCTTCACACAAGTATCAGAAATGTGGAAGTCCTTGACAAGGAATCTAAAGAAGTTCTCAAGTTCAATCAAGCTCAAGGAGAGACTGAATAGGCTTACACAATAGAAATTAATTGAATTACACCAAACTACATTTTGATGAGTTCATTTCTCATCTGAAAATAGAATTTGGAACAATATCATCACGCTTGCCCTGCGTTTAGTTTTCTATATGCATTTACTTATGGCTGGCCGCAGTTGGAAGCAGCATCTGGAATTAGACCCACCTTTGGTTTGACTAAGTAAAGGTATTAGAATGTTCTTGTATGCCCATTTAAAATTCAAAATTTTTAGTCAATAGAAAACAAGATTATGTTTTAAAAGATGCATTATACACACTCTAGAGATGCTAAACTACAGGTATTGCATATTTTGCAGATGCCACAGGGTCTTAAAAGGCTATGGATTCTGTACTCTTCACTTCAGAAGAAAAAACATTCCAAGTTCATTTTAGCTCAGCTCCCTAGGTAATCTGGTAGGAAATTAAGATACTCCCCACACACACTTTCTACTACATTCCAGAAAAGCAGGAAAATATAAAGTAGTAAAGGTAGTAAAGATCCCTCACAGGCCCATTCATGTGTCCTTCAGAGGCTACATAAGGGGGTACTACATGACCACAGTGTAGTTTAAAAACTGGTGCTAGCCTCCAAATTTCTGGCCAGGAGGTCACTTATCCACGGGAAATCAAGTGCTTTAGAGAACTATAAGAGTCTCTGCTGTCTGCCTCCAAGACATGCCTTCACAAACAAATTTGTTTATGCTCACACCCTTCTTTCTTCCTCAGACCAACCTGACGCCACCAATTTTTAAAGCAAGTTCACACCCTATTCTAAATTTCTCAACAAATTAACTACTTTTTGTTTGGGTTTTTTTGCTGCCATGCAAAAGGACTTACACCATTCCTGAAAGGTAAAAGGTGAGTACAATCATAAACTCAAAGGACTTTCCTTCTAAAGTGAATACTTCTCCTATGATGTACACTGTCATTTATAAACACAAGATTTTGTACTGATCTAGTCAGGTAACATGGTATTTGATTCTATTACATTCAAAACTTCTTAGTGTTTGTCACTCAGGAATAACATATTCAATCACCCTACTTTGCATGCATGGCATTCTTCGGGAACACCCAGTAGCTGTGCAACCAACAATTATTTACTTTAGTGACTTGTAAGGTATCAGGAATGACCTTGTTTAGGAAGACTTCTAATGCACTTACCGACAACGCAAGACTGAGGATGGATGTTGCATAGTTGAAGCTGTGGACTACTTTGTAGGATGTAGTACTGTAAATCTTCACATGCCTACACAGAAGAGCACAGGTAAAAACATTGTTAGTAAAGCTCTACTGTAGTCAATTCACAGGCACTTCATCACTCCCATCTTCTACAGATCATTTAAGGAAACTGAGTATTAATACAATGCATTCCTCAGACTACTATTGAGCTTCTTAGGTATTACTCCTGCAACAGTAATATTCTGTTAAAAGGTACCCACAAGTCAAGTTGGGATTGCTGCTGTCCCAAAAGAGGTGAAAATGGGTCAAGAACAGAAGAAGAAACCAAAGGCTACTTGGTTTAGTGTACTGAATAGGTGAATTCAGAAATGCATATTGGGAAAACACTAAGAAAGCATCTCTTCAAATTTGTTCTTAAATTTTAAATACAAAATCTACTAGCATTTTCTGGGAGTAAATCCATAGATGTTCTTGTATCAAGGTGCCCCTTAAGGATTTGGTTGGAAGCATGAAATTTTTAACTAATTGGAAAACAAAATGTTATCCTACAAGGATAAAATTTAGTGTTATGTAATCATAATGCCTGAGAAATGCTAGGAAATACAGGAGGGAGAAGAAAACAGATCCACTTTCATTTCAGATCACTTCATACTAATAGCTATTTAAACTGTATAAAAGTTAAGAATAGTTAATTTACAAAGACTGGAGAGGTCAGTTTAGAGATTTAAAGAACTGAACACTTAGAAGTTCCCCATATGCATTCCCAAACAGCACACACAATCCTTTATTGATATATAGATTAGTGAGAGGAAAAGATTAAGGTATATCATAGAATCATAGCACAGTTTGAGTTGGAAGGAACCTTTCAAAGCTCATTTAGATCTGCAAAAGCAGGGACAAGTAGGTACCTTGGCCCCAAACCATATTCTCAAATAAAGCCCAAAAACCACACACAGGTTAATAGTGATGTCTTCAAAGAAAAAAAGTCCTAAACAATGCAAACATAAGGAAGCCACAAAATTTACCAACCTGTCCAGGGATCCTGACAATAACCTTTGTCCAGAGCTGTTCAGGCACAAACAAGTTACAGTTTTATGGTGATTTTTAAGTGAAACTAGTAACTGTCCGCCTTTTAGTACATCCCAAACTTTGACATATCGACCTCCTGTGAAGAGGAAGGACACGAAAGTCTTACATTTATGTTTCTCTGAAGAAGTTTTCACAGAATGATGCAGTATCTCCTTCACATGTACCTTTACTTCCTAACAGTTTTCTATACCTACTCACCATCGTCTTCCATTCTATCTCCTGGCACAAGTCTGCTCTTTTCTTAGGCCATTCTGAATGAAGCTGAATGACTCAACCATTCTCCAGCCATATTCATTACAAAACAAAAAAATTATCTATAAACTATGGGATTACAGTACTTCTGATGCAACGGCAACAAGAGACTAAAAAAGCTTATCAATATGAAGAGAAAGACACAGTCCCATTTTTTCAAAACCTAAGTATGTTAACTTCTTCAATTTAGAAGTGGGCCAATTTGAGTCTGCAAATTGTTATTAAAAATAACTTGGAGGGGGTGGAGGGAGTGGGGAGGGAAGTGGAAACTACAAGAATATCAAAGCAAAGACAAAAAGAAGAGACCCCCTACTTCCATCTGCCAGATAAACGCAGATTCCTACAGAAGATATTTGAGAAATCCAACTATTTTACCACTTCCCAGGTAATTATCAAACTAAAACACCACACAAAGAATACGCAGACTAAGTAATTCTCAAATGAGGACCACAGAAAAGATATTTGATTTTATAGAATTACCTGCAGATACTAGAAGTCCACCAGACGGAAAGAGAAGCACACTCTCCACAGGATGGCCATGTTCTATTGTCAAGACACTACTCTTTGTTCGTGCATCAAACAGCTTCACAGTATGATCATAGGAACCTGCAGACACCAGCATAAATCAATTTCATAATTTCAACTCGTTCAGGAACTAAAACAGCCATGTCCTACCATCTGAAGGAGTTCCTGGCTAATAGCAATAGTTTTAAACCATAGATGTAAAAACACCTTGTGATTTACTTTGGTTAGTTTTCAGCCTTGGGGCAACATAGATTTTCTAATTCTAGCCCTATCTACACATCAGTCTGTAAAAGTAACTTGTTTAGTTTTATTTCGCTTCCATTAATCAAGTGTACTTATAACAATAAATATCAAGCAACCTGATAAAACCTAGCCTCTTGTGCCTCTTGAAAAAAGGAATACTAGGTTGTTTTTCCCAGTTTCCCACAGACTGATACAAAGCTACTGCTAGGAAAACCAAAAACAACTAGTTCCAAGTAACTCCACATGACCTCACGCTTTTGAATCTGCCAGTTATGGGCTGTACAGACTAGTGTCCTGCTTCAGAAACTTGGTACAACATTTCAGTCACTCCCAGCCAAAGGACATATTCACAGTATTTTCTTTCAAAAGTTCTGTTAACCCTAATAGGCTAAACCAAAAAGATGTTAAAACTCAATTCCTGCAGTTTCCCCTAAAACATCTGTGTCAAGCTTAAAAAGCAGGCAAAAAGAGGAAACAACAAAGTAAGCATTGCATAGGCACACTGATCCTTTATGACTAAAATACAATAAACATGACTTTAATGCACCAAAAATAATCAGCATTTTTCTTCAATTCAATCCAAAAGAAGTATAAGCAGAAAATAAACCAAAACCTGTTATGAAGACATCTGCATTCACTTTACTTGCACAGCCGCATCTCACATAGTCAGTATGTTCACTGTAAGATATGATTTCTGTGGCACTTGGAATATCCCACAAATTTGATGAATAATCATCACCACCAGAAAATATTCGGTATTTGTCAGACAGGAAGCCCACTAGATGAACTGGTCTAGAAAATAAAGTCCACAATACCCAAAGTTAAAATATATTCATGTTTCAAGAGAAGTTAGTCTGTATGAAGAGTTTATTAAAGTACTCTAACCTAGAAGTGCAGTGTTTAATATTAGAACTTATAAAGCCTCATTTTATAACAGTAAATTTTAAGCCTGGCTGCTTTGAACTATCTTCTTGACCTTTAGAATCACTATTGAAGTTTTTATTATCACTGTAATATCCCAACAGATGTTGGCAGAACACACAGGTGTGCACAGGTGTGGAGTTAATCTAGCCGTTAGAATGCAACACACAATTTGCAAACAGACCACAAACAGAAACACTCTTGAGGTCAGTCTGGGTATCCCCCATGGAAAGGGGGATTTTTGGTTTTTTATGTAGATAAAACACACATTAATCCCTCATAGCACAGAAGTCTGCTGAAGCATTATCATTGTCTTTGCCTCACTGATACATCAGAACTCCTAACTTCTTCCCCATCCCACGATACCATTATCGTGGACTTTTTCTGGTTTTTGAACCTTTCCTTAAGGAATTTCTGCTTTTCCTGGTGTATTTCTTCATTGCTTTTGTTTAGACACTTTTTAGAGTTCTTTTCCTACCAGCATCAAATAAAATGTGCTTACCAATGAAATGTACTCACAAGACTAGCTACACAACTTATTAAGACACACCCACGTGAAATGGAAAATGTATTAAGTCTTCTACATACTTTATTTATATTTAGATTTTTTTTAAAATTCATTCTCATTTTTAATTTAACTTTAAAATCCACTTTCCAGTAAGACCAACGAGAGACAATCAAAAGCAACATAAATCAGTATTACTCAGATTTTCAGCAGCATGTGAAGCAGACACAGGACTGTAATTTCACACAAACGCTGTATATTGCTGAGGCACTTGAACAGAGAAGATGGGGAAGCCCCTTCCCTAGCAGTGTTCAAGGTTAGGCTGGATGGGGCTCTGAGCAACCTGATCTAGGAGCAGGTGTCCCTGCCCTGTGGCAGGGGGGTTGGAACAAGACAGTCTTTAATGTCAAACCATTCGGTCTGTGGTTGAGTCTGTGATATGCAAGTACAGCAAAGACACTTATGCCAGCAAACAAAACAACCCAATTCTGCCTTACTTGGTATGACCCTCGAACTGCCTCAGCGGTGCTTTGCCGCTGACGTCGAAGAGGCAGATGCTGCCGTCCTCGCTGCCGGCGGCGAGCAGGCGCCCGTCGTCCCTGTAGGTGGCACAGTAGGCGGCGTCCCGAAAGCGAGAGAAGGTCTTGATGGGCTCCTGGGAGTAACGGCCGTAGATGTGGATCTGGGAAAACAAGAGCGCGTTACATCTCCCTGTGTGACACCAGCTGAAAGACAAGAGCATAAAAGCCTCGGAAAAGCCACTTACCCTCGAGGATGCGGTGACTGCGTAGTTATATGGCGGGACTGGGGAGAAGTCAATTTTATTTATTGCACCAAATTCCTTTATCTGAACAGGCGTCTAAAAAAATTGTGAAAAATATCATTAAATACACATAAGCACACCACCAAGTATGAAAACAGAATAATAAAATTTGTTTTTTCCTACAAAGAACTCAAGACTCCATTAGAATCAAAACGGTTCTTAAATACAATGATAGTGAGTTTCACTTCTGACAGGCTACTCCTGCTCTTGTAATTTTTTTCCAATACACGCATTACAACTGACTCATTAATTATGTGTTTTGAGGTTAAAAAATAACCCATGCGTATTTAAAAAAAAAAAAATTAATTGCACGAAAGCAGTAAAAAAGGCATTCTGGGCCAGTAACTGCGACTGTTGGGCCGCTTCCTCCTACCTTGTATCCCCGCCAGTACAGCGTGTCCTGCGTGATCTTCTCCCCGAGCTTGGGGCACGCCTGGACCACCACTGGCTTGTACGCGGCCATGATGCACGGGGCGCGGGCCGGGCCGGGCCCGGCGAGGGCTCAGCGGGAAAGGCTCGGGAAGGGCCGATGGGCTCGGGGCACACGGAACACGCTGCACCCCGGCGATGGCGGGCACCGCGCCTGCCGCGAGGAGAGACGCCGGGCGCGCCAGAAGTGCGTCATCAGAGTGCGCCTCTCGCCGGCCAATCGGCAGGGAGGCAAGGCCCCACTTCCGGCGGCGGCGGCGGCTGAAAGCTGAGGTGAGGCGAGGCTGACCCGGACCCGGACTCGGACCCGGACCCGGACCGTGCGGGCGTCCCTCCCTCGGGCCTGTCCTCACGAACTATCTCCAGAGAGAGGGGACAGCTGTAGGCGTGCCGGGAGCTGCGCGAAACGCGGCCCCACCCGAGGCTTCCCGCGGTATTGTGAGCAAGCCACGGGTATTCTGGGATTACCTTTACCGGTTTGAAGGGGATTTGATTTTTTTTCCCTGCATATGTGGTAGAAGCAATTTCTTTTACTCAGTATGCGAAAGGCATAAAGGAGCTTGAAGTTGCTTTAACTTTTCCCTCAAGTATAATGTTTCTGGGGAATACAGTAATCTTTTTAAAACTTGTTTCTGGCTTGGTATAAATCTGGTTGGTTGTCACGTGTTGTTTTTTGTTGCAACTAGGCAGATATTCTGAAGCATCTTTTCAGATGGATGAAACTCCTACTGGTTTAATAATGAAACTTGGCTTAAGTATCCAGGTGCTGAAATCTAAATGGAGATTTTGATCACTAACTTGTGACAGCAACAAGGTTGATACTTTACCGGTGTTTTGACTGACAAAACTAAATGCCATAAGCTTAAATAAAGTTTGATTATTATTATTGTGCGTTGTTTCACCAGAATGTTCTTAACCTTTGTTACATTTGTTCAGTTGCAGATTGTCTATAAAATTTGGCTTGGCTGGCCAGAATTGCTCCTGGCTGGAAACAATGAAGCATTATTTTGCATGAAACTTGTACGGGACTGAGATCATGGCATCTTCAACAAACTTAGATGTCGGTGCCCAGTTAATTGTGGAAGAATGTACCACAAACTACAGCCTTCCACCTATGCCAGACATTAAAGTGGAGCATCAGCTCGACACCAGCACAGAGGAAGGCCCAGCTCAGAGTGTCACCATGGGGATGAAATTCATTTTGCCCAATAGATTTGATATGAATGTCTGCTCGCGGTTTGTGAAGTCTTTGAATGAGGAGGACAGTAAAAATATTCAAGATCAAGTCAACTCTGACCTTGAAGTTGCATCTGTCTTATTTAAAGGTTGAAGTTATGGTACAAAATATTATCTGTGGACTGTATCATCCTGTTATTATGTTTTCTTAAAAAAACCTTCTGCTTTATGTGTGCTTTATATTGATCATTTTTCTAATATGTGTTCCTCTAATGTTTTTATTATATGCTTGATGGATTATTAATGTTAAAATTTTCTCCAACACTAATTTTTGTACTGAATTTTAAATACAAATATTAACTGAAAAATCAGTGGCACAAAAAGTCTCTTAAGTTAGTAAGAGCTGATGCTAATTAGGAAAACAAGCTGCTTCTGTATGGCATGTCCTTCAGCAGTAGCCTTCTTTATAAAACACTGCTGAACGCACTGTATCATCAGATTCAGTGGCTTTCAGCAACATGCTGTATCTTTTCATGAGGGTGATGAAAGATAACGTGGGCCACATGTGTTCTGTCACTGTGGCTGTACAAAGCCTCTAGTCCTAGCAATGGGCTTGCCACTGTAGCTTCACACTGCTTGAAGGCAAATGCTGCTCCAGGTCTGGATCCCTGCAGCTAATCCAGCCATTGCTGGACAGCTTCATCAGAATTGATCCATGCTTTTTCACAGCTGAGGATATGGATATAGAGCAAAATTAGGACTTCCATCTACTTCCTTTTAACAATTGTGGTTTCTAGCACTTGCTGTCATATTTCAGACCATTAATGGTATATCTTTTCATGAAGTTCATGTGACCTACTTCCTAACAAATGCAAAGCCAGGCCTGCTTTGAATTTTGATGGTTTTACTGACTTGTGTTGTTTGGCTGCAGATCAGCCATTGCAGGTTTCAAACTGTTTTGATTCTCTCCAAGTGTTTCCTAGCAGAGATGCAGGTCTGAGTGGCAGATTTACACCCATCAGCAATAGGGTTATTTATCTGAGGTAACATCTGTAAATCCCTTAGAAGTAGTCCTGTAAATCCAGGGACCACAGGTCAAAATCTATGGTAGGACTCTTAATTCAGTACAGTCAGTTGTAGCTGTTGACTGGCAAACAAAACATAATTTTGTTTTCTGTTACACTCTATTTCTTTTAATTAGTTCTCTCCCTGAATTTGTGCTTGCATTTATGATCACAAAGTTCTCTATGGTGTTAATTCAGTGTGTGTGTTAATTAGCTTCTAGTCATTAATTACTGGTGCATAGTGGTGTCAAATCAATTAAGCCAATATGGAGTTTAATCCTTCAATGTGTCTTCTCAGTATTTAATCTCAAAACCAAAAGCTGCTTTTGAGAATTAGAAGCCAAAACAACATACAAATATATTCTGTAATAAAATGCTATTAGGTTCTAAGAGAAAGCAAGAGCAGTTAGTATGAATGAACACATCAGCAGTGAATGACTTCCTGAATTCTAAGCAGTGACCTGCTGTTGCCTTTTATGTAAGTTAGTGTGGAGCCTGTCTTCCTGCTGGATGAGTATTCATCAGGCATCCATAATGCTATTAAAATTTTATCCAGGAGTGAGAAAAGCCCTGCTGAAGAAAGTTAATGAAGTCTCCACTCATGCAGAGGACTGATTAGGGAGCAGGCAAAGGGAGAGCAGGTACCTGAGTGCATGTCTGACCAGAGCTGTGTCATGTTACTGCCTTGCAGAGTGTCTGTAAGAAGATGACAAGTTAAGTAAAGCCCTCTTACTTAATAAATCCACACCAGGCATGTTGAAAAATCTAGACGAAGGCTTACCTCATTTAGAGGTGTCTCTGAGTGACATGCCATACTGAACATGTGAACTAGCATAATTATTTTATGCTAGAAATTAATGCAGCCCTTTATTTAGCTTTCACAGTACACAGGGGGAAAAGCACATGTCACAAAGCTTTCTTAACATGGATGTCAAAGGTCTTGTGATACTGGTGCTTTACAGTTTGACTTAGACTCTAGCTTGCTTTTAATGCTCTTATTAGTACTGAAATCCTCTCTTTTTTGTTCAATGTAGCTGAATGCAACAGCCACACTTCTCCTTCCCCTGGTATCCAAGTAAGACATGTTTATACTCCATCAACTACTAAGCATTTCTCACCAATAAAACAATCAACTACACTAACCAACAAACACAGGGGAAATGAAGTCTCTACAACACCTCTACTTGTAAACTGTAAGTATCCTTCTGCCTTTACTATTAATAATTACTTTGTGAACTCTGTGTTGGATTTATGCAGTTTTTGATTTGGCGTTGGAATGAACTTTAAGGTAAGAAGAAAACACTGAGACAGTCTTGTCTAATTTCACATGGGTCCAACCATAAAATAGTCGTCCACCTGATATATGGAATTCATGACTAAATTTTATTTTGCAGAAAGAAAAAAAGCCAAAAAAACCCCTTCCCTATACTTTCAAAATCAAGAATTAGATTCTAAGTTGTAAGTTAATGTACTTAATGCCCATGTTTTCTGAACTTGTGCATCTTAAAATTAGACAACTGGTAAATGCTGCAGGATACTTAAGATGTAATGTAAAAACAGAATACTGCAAGTGTTGTGATTGTCACAGATCTTGAAAATCAAGGAAGCGTTGTTTCTGGTGGGGTTTTTTCTGAATTGTCAAGCATTTCCTTTATAAATAGATATGCTGTAATTTACTTTACTTTGTCAGTAAACTATTTTCTCTATAAATTAAAAATAATTTTTTTAAAAGAAAAATGCTACTTGCATGGAAAAAATAAATCGGGAGCTGCAGTGTAGTCCACTGAACAAAATACGCCATCGTTCTAAATAAATTAAACTTTCATGTAGTGACTTGGAAGAGGACAGTGAACATTTACAGTTAATGTAATCATTTTTGTTACTACATCATGTGGATAATTTATCACATATAGCCTCCTGAGCACCTTTCAGGCTTGCTCCAAGTTGCAATTATCAAAACCATGCATCCATGCAGTTTTTTGTGGGATCGGAGGTTATTTCTTCATAACCTCTGAAATGACAAAAAAAAATCCGCAATGTTTGTTTTCCTCTCTTTATGTCAAGTTCTGTGTAGTTTTGTAATTCCACATTGCAGTAGTGAGAGTCACACTAGAGGCCTTCTTTGTTGAGTAGCAGGACAGGTCTTCTGGTGATTCAAGTGTGATTTTTAAATTAAACATACTTAATTTTTCAAACTGTGTTCATTTTCAATTGATAAGTGGGTCTTAAAGTAATCTTGGGTCACTGACTAAACAGCAGTGAAGAGAGCATGTTACTTTGTAAAGAGTTGATGTGGGAAGTATCCTTGCTTTCAAGAATGACTGCTGCATTGGTTTAAAAATTACCTAAATCTGTGAAAACTCTTTGGAAAATTTTCAGGTTTTAATAAGTTCAGAGCATAACGTGAAATCATCTACACTCTGGATTCCAAGTTCTATACTGCTAAAACAAATGGACATATTATGCTCAGCTCTAAACAGAGCAGAATGAAAATTGGTGTCTGTAACACCTTTTCCTTCCTTTTTGGCAGCTTTATCAGTTCATCAGCTGGCTGCTCAGGGAGAAATGCTGTATCTGGCCACACGTATTGAACAAGGTGAGACAGAAGGAGGTTAAATGCCTTCTTTTTTCCTTTGAGCTATTTATATGCTGTTGTGTTTGATGTTTTCCCCAAAGCTATAAAGTCTTCAATAACGTTACAAACTGGAGGACATTTGAGGTATCTGTTCTTTGCAGATGTGGACTATTGTTTTGTATCAATGTATGGTTTGCATTTTAAATTAAAATATTAACGTTAATAGGAGTCAGTAAATCCCTTCATCTCCCTGCTTTCTAGCTATATAGGTAATCCATGGAACTAAGAAAGGAATATGTTAGCTTATTTTATTTTATTTTTATCTTTGTCATTTGAAACATATTTCTAT